AATATTTAAACCTGCTTCAGAATTGTTCTTCATTTATTCCATGAGATTAACTAATACTGGAGGAACTTGCTTTTTTCTGACAAAAACAAAACCTGCGGAATTGAAAATAGTGATTTTCCGACTTCCCTCCTGTTGATCTGCAGCCAGCAAAGCTTTAGGACATGTTTAAGAACTCTTAACAAGACTATTGGATGGTTCTGCTTACCACCACATTGCTTAAAATGCTTTTTTTAAAAAAGTACTCTCACAGTTACGAATGGAAAGCAGCAGAACAAACATTACTGAAAATCAAACCCTTAACCACCTCCTCCAGAAAATCTGAGTTTTCTGCCAGTCATGCCTGTAAGATTTATTGTGTTTAGCCCTTAAAAAATTATGATTGTTGATTGCCTATCAAAAGTGTTTTGGAGATATAAAAAGTATGTGATATCTGCTTTGGAACAAAAATAAGTAGCACATATTGGATCCAGCTCCACAACATTTAGAATTTGGGTTCTTTTATAAAATTCAATGAACATTAACATTAATCAGTGGGAAGATTAACATATTTGTCACATGGAGGGGATCATTTTTTAACAATTCCCTTGTCCTCTGTAGCTTTTGCACTGTGGTACCAACCACTAAACAGTGCACCAACAGAGTAAACTGACTCCTCACCCATCACTGGCCTCTTTGTTATCTTCAGCAGCATTTATTGCCTGCCCCTTGGTATGCTACTAATGGTAGTAAGTGTACCCCCCCAGAAAGCCATCATCAGTGTTGGAGGGTAACCAAGGTATCAAATGATGTTGCGTGTAGCATGACAATATCATGCAAATGACACAAGTAATTCATGCATCATTATGGTTTCTATCAGATATCTATGTCTATCTTCATAAAAATTATTAACAAATGAATTCTTGTGATGTGTTATTGTGAAAATAGGTTCTCATGTTTACAAAAGTAAATAATTTAATACTCCACCAGGTTGTTATGGTAGTAAGACTAAGACCAAAAGAGAATCACTTATATTGCTTTATATAGAGAAGGTTGGAGAAAGAAACATAATAAATCTGAATACTGATTGTAAAAGTAGAACTTGCATAGCTGCTGGAAATCTCTTATGATACTTTTCAGGTTTTCTACAAGTGGTAGATTTTACTTATCAGAAGTTTTTAAATTCTTGTGTGGCTATTAAACAGGTTACACTTCAGCCTACTCTGGAGGCACTGACAAATGTTCTACTTCCAATATCAATATACTGCCTCTATTTCCTATCTCAGAGGTCAGCAACCTGCAGCTCTGGAGTCGCATGTGGCTCTTTCACCCCTCTGCTGTGGCTCCGTCACTCAAAATATGCGTCACAACCGCCAATGTGTAACACCCTCTGGCACGCGATTTATTAAGCTTTTCAACCCCCGAAAGGCCAACTGTGGATAAATCCAAGAAAATAAAAGTTTCAGAAGAAAACAGACTATTTAATTCAACTACATATGCTAGTTTTGTGGCCGCTCAAAAAATAGTCAGGCGAAGGGTTTTGTGGCTCCTGATGTTTTCTTTTCTGTGGGAAGCGGGTCCAAATGGCTCTTTAAGTGTTTAAGGTTGCAGACCTCTGTCCTATCTAGAGACTAGGTTTTTTTTTTTAATCTTCTGCCTTTAGGTTTTTTGACTGATTATACTTTTTCTGTGTTTTGCATAACCTTATTAGCATAAAAAGAAATAGTGTGATGGGTTTGTATGTATACATGCATAAAAAATGGTTTCTTGGCAGAGATGAGAAAACTGACAAGTCTAATGAGAGAGAAATCTACAGATGCTTTTATTAAAGACTGCAGTCCGTTTATGGATCATATTATAACAGTAGAGAAAAATAGTTTCATGATAAAGGGTTTTATAGGTTAAATAAGGGAAGATAATGATGAATTTAAGTAGTGATTACAGTGGGATAAAAGAATAAGATGGTTAATGAATTTATGAGGAACGTGAAGGGTGAAGTGGACTGTATGTCTCTTAAATTATATGTTTAGTTTTATATTTTCAGGCTTATGTTTTTGTATTGTGTTTAATGTTTATTTTATGTATATAATTTTAATAAAGTTTATACAAAATCGTCTCTAAATAATTTGTACTTAAGACTTCTTTCATGGTTTGTGATGTGAGAATTCTATAGACTTAGTTTTTCATGTTATTTCGAATCTGAAATATGTTAATAACTTTAAATTCATTGATCATTACAGAAAGAAATAAAAAAGATTAGATGAAATTTCTACTGCATGCCTTAAATCATTATGGCCTTTTTAAGATATAATATCTGCAGAGCAATCTACATAAATGCCTTATTTTTAGGGAGATCTTAATGAGCAAGAGAGCTGCTAAAAGTGAAGGAATAAACATAATGAATTGTAAAATATTATAATAACTGTTCAAACTTGCTGTAATTGCTGTATAAATTCTATTTGGCAAGGAATGGTTTCACTTTGGTTAATTTTATTATGTCTTATGCAACCTTCACTGTACTGTAATTTCCTGTTTAGTTAAATAAGGAATCCAATTTGTGTCAGTAACAGAATAACAGAGTTGGAAGGGATCTTGGAGGTTTTCTAATCCAACCCCTTACTCAGGAAACTTGCTTGAAGCTTAATTAAAAGAACATTTTCTTGGTTCTAACAGAAATGAATCAGAAAGCTCACCTAATGTTCTGGTGGAAAAGTGCATACATATACATGTTTTAGTCATAACACCCTAATAGAGGATTAGTAACTTTCTTAATTGTAGATTCCATCAAATCAGTAAAAAATGTATTAGTTCCCAGACCAGTCTTGCAAGATCAGTTTAGAAATCAATTTTTACCCTGAAAATATGTTCTCCTGTACAAATTTATTTCATTTCTCTATGCCAAAGGTTGTGGCTCAGTGTCTCATACAACTCTGCCCCTAGGTGGTTTACAAATTATGTATTAATTCTTGAAACTCTTTACGTTACTATACTTACATGATGGTTATTGATCATATAAATGCATTTATTATATTTATCAATTTTAGTGCAAAGCACTGAGTTATGAATTAGTAATGTAAACATTTTAGAGCATGGTTGGATGAGGAAGAAAATTTAGAGGAAGTACAAGGCCATAAAAAGAAACAAGAGGAAATATGTGAAAAGTTCAGCATGAAAAAGATGAAAAGTTTCCAAATACCATGATGCTCATCTTTTCCATTCCCAAGTGTAGTGATGAAAATTTGATTAATTGAATAGGAAATTAGAATGTAGATTCACTGCAGGATGCTTTATTTGCTTTATTTATTGATGATTAATTCATCTGTATTGAACTGAATTTGGCCTGTGCTGTAGGACCAATGGAAATGGATATTAATTTTAAAGGAAAGAAAAATCCATCTCCATTGGTCCTAGAGTACAGGCCTGATCATTCTTTCCTGTTCTGCAATAAAGTAAATAACAATGTGCATAAACTTGTGCATAGAAGGCTCGCTTAAGTTGCATCTGGTTTTCTTAAAGTGTGTGCAAGGTCATGGGACAGTGAGCCCTTTGCAGGTTCTTGGGAAACTTTGCAAGCACCTACTCTTGAGTTTACTATTCCTATTTGGCTCTTGGGCTCCACGTGTCCCATCACATATGTGTTAGTAGTGATCTTCCAGCAGAAAAGGGACACAGCCAAAAACTGAACTCAGTAAGTGCTATTCTCTGTGATACTCATGATTTTGCACGAACAGATTGGATCTGCTTGAATAGGAACACAATTATTTCCTGCTGCCTTACCACTTCTTGAGGCAATGAGAAGCTTCATAAGCAACAGTCCATGGGCCAACAAATACAAACACACACACATATTGCTGATAAAGAAATAAAGGGAGACTATTATAGATCTATTTCAAGCTATTTAGTTCTCATCAGCTAGCCATACCCTTACTCAGATTCAAACCTTATCAGCAAAATATAAATTTGGTATAAAATGGTTTGTCGTGAATGCAACTGCTTGAGGGCTCCTGGATTGGAGCTGAAAGGCAAAAGGGAAGCAGTATGCTCCCTCTCATATTGGGGTAGACCAGGTGCTTCAACAGAAAAACACACACACACATACATAAAGTATGACACAGAAGTGAGTACACCCTCACGTTTTGTAAATGTTTAAGTATATCTTTTCGTGTGACAACACTGAAGAAATGACACTTGGCTACAATGTAAAGTAGTGAGCATACAGCTTGTATAACAGTGTAAATGTGTTGTCCCCTCAAAATAACGCAACACACAGCCATCTAAACTGCTGGCAACAAAAGTGAGTACATACTGTGTATTTAAAACAGTCTTCCAAAGAGGTTGGCCTACACCAGCTGTCTTTGGGCATCTTGAAGGCACCACTGCACGATGCCCATCAAACGACTGTACAATTTACCGCACACTTGCTTTTGGTGACTGTTATCCCACCACTTCTCCACAGGGGCCACGGATCTGTCCTCCGAGGGCCCACTCTGTGGGGAATGATGATCAATATTCCTAAAATGCAAAAGCAGTTCTGGAAACCTCCGTGGTTTGTCCCCCACCACAGCTCCCACATCAGGTTGGGTATTGCAAGCCATCGCCACTGGATGGGGAAAAAACGGGGCTACTTTTCAACATGGCCTGGCCAGTTCGGCGGATTACGGGAACCGGCGGGAACAGGCAGGGTCGGTCTAGGCTTGCCAAAGGGAGCGCTTAGCCCAGCCTTCACGACAAAATGCGCCAGGTGCGGAGACAACCTCCCCTCTCAGCAGGGCCTACCGACTCCGGGTCGCGCTGCGTCCTGCGGATAAAACCCCCGGAGTTTCGCAGCTGAGAAGCGAAGTCCACACTTCAGCACCGGGGGCCGCCTCACCCCCACCCCCGCTTTCGCCGCCCCCCCCTCCCTCGAGCTGCTCGGCTCCTGCCGCAACGAGCGGGGCAGCCAAAGACGCCCAGCCGCAGCGGCGACGGCGACGGGCGCTTCGGCGCCGTCAGCGGGAGGGTTTGCGCGGGAGCGGGCCGGCGAGGAGCAGATGGCCAGGCTCCCGCTCCCTCCGCCGCCGGCCAGCCCTTAAAGCAGGCGCCGGGCGGGAGAGCAGACTCGCAGCATGACGACTCCCCGCCGCCTCGACAAGGCGCTGAAAATGTCCCTGCGGAGGAAGACCAAGATTCATTCGGCGGCTGGTGGGTGTGCGCGCGCGGCTGGGGAAGGAGGTTGGGAGGGAGGGACGGGGAGCCTGTATGCATCCCTCCCCAACTGCTAAGCCTACTCCGCGCAGCAGCGGACCCCCCCCCCCTGCCGCCCCCCACTTCCCCACCCCGATTGTGCATCTCCCATGAGAGCCATGTTGGGATTTAATGGCAACGTTGCGTTTCCCCCATTTCCCTCACTTGGTGAATTCGCGTCAAGGTGTGTGTGTGTGTGTGTGTGTGTAAGTGTGCGCGCCCGTGTCTCGCCTCCCATTTTCTGCGGTCTGCGGAAAGGAGCGGGAACGAATAACGAAGGGCTTCCTGGGCTTCCTTGTCGCCAGCTTCCCTGGATCTTTTCCGGTTTCCAGTTTCTCTTTTGAACGCTCCTCGTTGGACCAAGGGAAGATTTGGGATCTCTCTCTGGCCTGAGGATGGTTTAGCTTTTGGAAAATGCTCAGAAGATGGGAAACTCTGCGTTTTGGGTGTGTGTGTGTGTATGTTTGTGTGTGTTTGCGCTGTGTGTTTCACAGCCTCCTGAGTTTAATGAGATTTATTTCTAGATATAGATGTGCAGGATTGGTGTCTTGACAAAAATAGCTTTGTCCTCTCGGTGCCCACAGATTTGAAATTGGTGGAGCGAGAATGATTCTCTTTCAAACCTCACTGGCAAGGAGCCTGATCCTGTAATCTTCCCTCCTTTCTCCTGTTTGCATAAAGATCAAATGAAAGCAGAACCAGCCTTTTATGTTAAGGGCAAGGATGATGTTAAGGGCAAGGATGAGGTGTCGTCCAATCCAGTTTGGCCCACACAATCCTTCAGCAGCCTATCAAAAAACAAAGATGTATGCATATACACACAACAAAATAAGTATATTTCTGTCATGCTTTTGATTAGCTGTTCCATTTATCCTTTCCAGAGGTGAGGAGCTATCACTGTCGTCTTCCCCCTGCCTGGCTGGGGATGATGGAAGCATTCCTGAGAACACTAGATTGAGTTAATGTCATATTGCAATCCTAAGGCTACAATCCTGTGCACATAACTTTGAAATGAAGATCAATTTGGCCAAATGAGGGTGCTCTTAAGTACAGTAAGCACATAGAGAAGAAACCTGCATACACTAGACTAGAGATAGCTGAATCAAGCTTTCTGTAGGAATCCCTTTTTAAAGTATAGTTCTTGAACAGAGCTCAATTCTAAGAGAATTAATTCTTTCCATAATTCTCCCCAGCACCAACTTCTCCTGTTTAGTAATTTAGAAAATAGAAAAAAGGCAGTTTGTATAAATAGCTGCCTTCTGGATTACATTGTACAGAATTACTAGCCAATTTGATGGAAATTGAACTTCTAGTCATCTGAATAAAAAATAAGTCTTGGGCGGCTAAGATCTGAGTTAGGTATACATTTCAGTAGTTCTACTCATGTGTTATGTGTATAATACACGTCTCATGTCTTGGTTGGGGCTGCCCTTGGAATGCACCCGGAGACTACAGTTAATCCAGAATGCGGCCGCGCGGGTTATTACAGGGGCTTCTCGGTACTCCCATGTGACACCTCTCCTGCATGAGCTGCACTGGCTGTGGGTGGCTTTCCGGGTTCGTTTCAAGGTGCTGGTGCTCACCTATAAAGCCCTACATGGCTTAGGCCCGGGGTATCTGCAGGATCATCTCCAGCCTTCCTCCCACCGTCCGGTGCGCTCATACAGAGCGGGCCTCCTCAGGGTGCCATCAACCAGATAATGTCGTCTGGTGGCCCCCAGAAGGAAAGCGTTCTCTGTGGGAGCGCCGACCCTCTGGAATGGGTTGCCCACCGGCCTCAGGACAACCCCGGACCTCTTCTCCTGCCGCGAATTGAAGACGTGGCTTTTTCACCAAATGGGCTGAATCCATAGTGGTGACTTCAAATAATTTTAATAATTTTTAATTGGTTTTAATTTAATTTTAAACTGATTTTAAATTGTTTATGTAATTCTTTTTATTTTAGGTTATATCAGTTTTTTTTATAATTGTGCCTTTTAATAAGATTACTATTAAAAAAGAAGTTATTCGTAAAATAGCTTCTATTTTAGAGCATAATATCACATGCTCTAGATGACTCAGAAAAGGACAGTGAATAAATCTGGTGTATTTTTGCTTTATCTGGGGGAGTTTCCTCATGGAATAATGCTATCTGGTAAAGGCATCTGCTCTCTAAAATCACTTCTGTACAATCATATGAGAAAAAAAATAAAAATATGAACCAATATATCTGTAGTGAAAGTTTGTAACTGTATTAATTTGAAATCAACATTTTTTACGTAGTGAGTGACTGAAATTTCACCTCTCCCAAGTTTCTACTTTTGAAGCTTAATTATATTCATAAGACTAGATAATTTAAATGTTCTTGACATATGCAGTGTTTTGAAGAAATACTACATTATGTTTTCCATCTAAAAAAACATATCATTAATTCAATTTATATAGCCATGCTTGTTTAGTCAGAAAACATATGAAATCAGAAGTTGGAATCGGGATTCCAGCTACCTTAGCGGTTAAAGTCAATAGCTTTGAATTAAACCAATCCATTTTGTTGTTTTTCATGATCATTTGATGAAATAGAAAATGATCCCATTCTGTACATGTTTAAGGCCCGTGGGGGAAGTCAGTGGCACTTGAGTTGGATTGGGGCATGAAAGACTGCGAACACTAATGGGAGAATAGATATAATCCAGTCAGGATGACAGATCAGAAAGATAAACTGTCAAGGATAGAGTCTAAAGGAGTATTAAAATCAGGACCACGGACAGCTCCAATTGACTTTTTGCTGGTGGTACTTCTCCAGAGTCTGGTCAGAATTTATTCTCAAAAAAGAAAACTGGTTACTGAAGCAACTCTTGGAAGTATCAAGCTCTTCCTCTAGTTTCTTTGACCCAATGAGAAGTACCAAAAGAGCCTGCTCTCTTTTTACATATTTAGCACTGGACTTGCAAATTTGTAAATGAACATGCTAAGACAGATACAGCAATATGAGATTGCTTCAGGGACGTGAATAGTATGATTTCCAGGGGTGTGAAATTTTCAGAATTACTCATTCTTTGCTAGTGTTCATTTTCCTCTTCAATGTAATTTGAATTTATATTTTAGTACCCCCTTTCTTAGAAATTCCCACCCAGTTCAAACACTTTTTCCCCAATCAGTTTTTTCAATCATGAAATCATATCGGTGTTGTTTGGAATTGAAGTAAAAGGCATTTCCCTTAAAATTAAGGACTCCGGGATTACACGGTCACTTTCCCACAATATTTCTGCTATTTCTCCTTCCTCAATTAAGTATTTTCTATTAGTATCAAATCCACTTTACATCTCCAATTTCAAAGATAAATTAATTAAACAATAGAAGCCAGAGTTTTAGAGATTTCAGGAAATCTTGGGTTCAGTTTCACATGTTGTATTAACTACTGTTGGTTGCATTGGCTAGTTTTCACAATTTGGAGAATTCAATAAGGAGATATCTCAGGCTTTGCAGGGATTTCTATCACTCTGAATAATACAAATCTCTGCAAGCCTGAGATGTCTTCTTGAATTTTCCAGACTTTTTATTAGTATAATTTTATTATTGCAAAAGGTTAAAGGAATTAGATACATTACTGGAGGATAATTAATTTTACTTAAGCCTAAATGTAAACAAAATCTAATTTAGTTTTTTGTTTTGGCTCCAACCACTACAATTGTTAAAGGCCTGTTGTGGCTGTCAGCCCGGAAAAATATGCACAGATATGTCAGAAGCCACACTGTACAACTAAAATATTTGGATTTATATAACACTTACATTGGGACTAAAGCAAATACTTAAATGTTTGTCTTAAAATTATATAGTTGGAAAGGAACTTGGAGGTTTCATTGTTCAGCCATATTCAGTGAATGATCCAATTATTTAATAATTTAAATAATTAAAAAAAACAATTCAGTGAAGGAGAGTTCTACTTTCCAGTGCTCTACTGGTATATAGCTCTAGGAAATTTCTACAAAAGTTGCTTGAAATTTGTTTCTCCGGTTTCCATTATTAGTTCTATTCCTGCAGTTAAGCAATAGAGAATATACTTGTTTTGACTGCTGCATGATTGCAATTTCAATATTTGAGGACTAAGGAGAGATTAAGTCATGTCTCCTTTCTTAACTGTTTCTTTAGTTAGACAATTATGTACAGCTCTTTGAAAAGTTACGATTTCCTTCAGATTTCTTAAAATTATTTCTCCCATTATCATATACAGTATGTTCAATTTAAACCTCCTTAAAATGTGATATGTAAGTGCTATGTAGGTGCTAGCATGTGGCAGGAAGAAATGATATAAATATAATCTTAAATCTGCTTATACTTTGGTGAGCTAAATACCACGTGACTCAAACCACCCTAAAACTTGTTTTCGGAATGACAATATTAAAGTTTGCATCTCCAAATTTATATCCAAATGATAAGTAAGAGGCTTTTAATTGATTTATATTTAAATTATTCTCTAAAATGCTTATATCTCTTCTCTTGTATACCCAGACAGCAAAAACATCCATCCTGTTTTTTTCCTGCCTCTTTTAAGTTTACTAAAAATAATCCACCATCAATATCACACTTAATGTTACAAAGTGCATTTTTCAAAAAGATCGCTCATGGTTTGCAAAAATCTAGAGGTCAAGCATCAGCACCATTACTATTGATCAATAAAAGTGCTGCTGAAATCTCTGTGATCTCCAATAAAAGTCAGAATATCCTTGCACCAAAGCAGTAATTAAAGTATCTGTTTTCCAGGTTGCAAAATGGAAATATAAATATTAGATTTAGTGGTGCCGAGCTGTAATTTTTATGCTTATCATTTGCCATCTGTCCTTGCTTGTAAGAATACTCTTCAAACTTTATGGTTTTCTGGGTCTCCTAAAAAACTTTAGCATTCCAGACTCAAAATTGGATCTAGGAACTTCCTTCAGCTTCCAGAATTCCCTTTCCTATTCTTCATCTTTTGTGACAAA